GAGGATTTCTGTCTGAGGTTCAGGAGTCTGAATGGAGCAGGTGATGTAGTAGCAGCCATGACTAACTGATTAAAAGACACACATCGGTTTTGTTTCACAAGTGAAGAAGGGTTTCCTGCTCGCTAGTGCCATGTCATGGGGAAGAATTTTGCAAAGCGTCAGTGCTGTACAAGGTGTCAGGATTATTCATGACGTGTGCTTTCCTATCAGGAGTGATGAGAGCGTCGGTCTGTTGGGTAGATAAGGTGCTTAGCTCCGCAACTGCAGAAACAGCGGCTCAGGCAGTATCAGCAATACGTTACACGCTCGGGCCTTTGAGGTGGTAGCCGAGGAGCCGGCATTAGCATTTGCCCTGGGGGCTATTAAGACCCTTATGATGATGAGTTTGCACCGGCGGCAAGCATGTGTCAGCCATTGAGGCTCATCAGAGAGCACGTAAGGAAATGTGCTGAACAGAAAAAGTGCACAGAGGAGGAACATGCACGCAGGGAGGAGATGTGGAGCAAAATGAGAACAAGGCGAAAGAATGATAGAGCTGATGACTGGACCACCATGTAGACTTGATGAAGAATAATAGACAGAGGATAAAATGATGAGAAACTGATGTGAAGCGAAGAAGGAATGAGGGATTATTTAGTCCCAGGAGCAATTTTCTTCAGTAGCTTTTCATAAAGCTTAGACGAGCCTTGTAGTAAATCACTGACTTTCCCTGACTCGGCACCCCCTTTTTGCATTAAGATTCTCCCCTGATGGCAGTTTATTGATGATAGCGGGCAATAATAGATTGATATTCTGTAACTGTATTCCAGCATGTTTAAGTGCATTTCCATCAGCGTCACAGGGATAAGTTAATACTATCATGGAAATGAATGATAAACTTTAGTGGAGGTTTTGGAGTCACAACGAGTGGAGCACTTTTAAATGCTCTCTTCATAAATCATCCATTTTAGAGGGGAGATAACATAAAAGCCATTTTGTTGGGAATGCAGGCCATTATGCAAATATTTAGTGTTCGCAATAAACCCCATAGATCTTTCAACGTGTCCCAGAAATACAAAGTTTGGGGAATTTGTCTTTAATGTTGATGATTAATATTTCATCATGCCTATCAGAAGCTGGCCTATTTTTCAAGTAGGCAAAGGGTGGTGTATGTGTGCAGATGTGAAGGCTCTGGGTGGTTATTGCATGTGACTCAGACAGATGAGTTAAAGTTAAAAAAAAAAAAAAAATCCGATCTTTTGTTGTTTTTTTAATGTTTACTACTTTTTTGTGCAGAGGTGTTCCTAAAATGGTGTGGAAGTTCTCTGTAGAGACGTGCAGTCCAGTGTGCCAGAATATTTCTGAGATGGATTCTTGTTTTTGGCCTCTACTCTTCACTGAGTTCACATGATGAAGTTCCCTGTCGCTTCTGCGCTTTTTTTCCTCCTCCCTTTGCATCCCCTAGCCTTTCCCCTCTGCCAAAGTAGTGACAAACAGGCAAGGGTGCTGGCAAAGGCTGTTATGTCAAGTGCTGTGAGAGAGCCAACTGTACACTTTGCCAATCACAATCAAAATGTTCCCACTCCTCCGTTGTGGTCTAGCAGTTGGAGACAAGATACATTATCACAGTTATAAAAAGGGCCTTAATGAAAGAAGTAAAAGTCTATACTCAAGGACAACTCAGTTTTGAACCTATCACAGGCGGCAGAACTCAGAGTACAAGATCCAAGATCTCACAGTAACATTCATTGACTAAATCATTTAAATTGATTTTTACCCAACATTAATTAAGTAAACCTCAAAAAGGAGCAAGGAGAGTGTCAGGAATTGTAAGGTTAATGTGACCTGTGGTACAGTGACTTGATCAAAGGACTTGTTCTACATAGTCTTACACCTTTACCAAAGCACTACCTTTGGCAGCGTTTAGTTTTAGTGCCCCTTCCCCCTCTGCCCCTCCCCAATGCTACACAGTGCTTGTGCAGATTGCAGATGTCCAGTACTATCTGACAAGCGCTACAGCAAAAGCATAAAAACATAAAGACAGCAAGACAGATTATAATGTTAAGCTGAACATGCTAGTAAATTTTGGAATTCCGTTTTCTCACATTGTTTGCAGAAAAAAAATTTAAAATCTAAAATTCTGAGTGACACGCAATGATTAAAAATAATGCAATGTTCCGTTAGAGACCCAGTTTTCCTTTATGTCTATGCTTAACATAAACAGTTTTTGAATAAAGGGTTTTAATGCCTGAATAATTCAGTGCTGCTAGTTGAATGAGAGTTCTTGTTTAGAAAAAGAGACAAAAATTTTAAATGTAATTTGTAATACCTCAAACTCTCTCATTTATGTTGTGCTGTAGTGTTAATCAGTCCTATAACAAGCCCTTTAAGCCACCCATCATAACTGGTAAACATTTGCCCTTTGTAGTTACCATGTACTAAGACAGAAGATGCTAAAGGACTCTCTAAAGAAGTTAAGAGCTTTCCATGAGGTTTTCCTTTGGTGAATAGGGTGAATTTGGGAGTCACTGGACCAAATCTCAGTAATAAACTACACAAGCACACACATACAAGTGCTTGCTCTGACAATAGCATATGACAGCCTGCCTACTTATCCAAAGCAGGCAGTGCATTAAGACCACCCAGACTCGTCTGTTGTCTTCTGTTGTCTTAAGAATGTCATTGAGTCTCTGAACAGCTCTCCTGATGCAGCCCTCTAATCTGCCCGGTACCGTCGGCTGTTTGCTGGGTGATGTGAAGGTTGCCAGGCTGGGTATTATGGTCTGTTGAAGTGTTTGGTTTGTGGCTTTGCTCTTTGATATCCTCCACACACATAAGAGGCTCAGTGGCTCATCCACGCCTGTTACCCATAGTGACACGGTGGCTGCATAGTGTTACATGCCTCCAGATGAGTCAAAGGCATGTCATGCTCTGACCCCATGTCACTGGTTAAGTCTTGATGAGTCATTTATGAGGATGGAACAATGGTCATCTTGAGTTTTATAGGGATGCTAGTAAAGTCAATGTCAGATACTCCTTCAGTCTGTTCTGACAACAGTCCCCACCAAAACAGACACATGACAGATGATGGCTCATCAGGCTTATCATGACAAACACATGTGTTTGTACATCACAGGTTTTCACAGTAAAAAAAAACTTATATCTATCAAGAAGGATGTTTTAAGCCTCTTCTAGCTAGCTGTTTTTTGTTCATCCATTTTTATCCTCCCCTGTCACTGGATTTCAGGGGAGGGAAATATTACTGCTCATAAAGGATGGGTACAAAGAATGCAGAAAACATTTAAACTAGAGCAACACCCCTATGTATATGTGCTTGCTACTGCTCATACTGTGTTTACTGCTTGTTTATCACTCAGCTGTGGTGAAAGTGTGATCAGTTATTCTACTTGAATGAATGTATCTCTCAAGAAAAGGCCTGAGCGAGTTCTAGAAGAGTACGATATGAGGGGAAAAGAAAACCAATTTAAGAGACGTTTTATTAGATAAATTGACACGCTATTTTTCTGCAGTTTCCTGGTGAGGTTCCCGAGAACAGGGTGGATATTGTTGTGGCCAATCTGACGGTTATAGACGCCGACCAGCCGCACTCGCCGAACTGGAACGCCATCTACAGAATCATCAGTGGAGATCCGTCTGGACACTTCACCATCCGCACTGATCCAGTCACCAATGATGGCATGGTCAGCGTGGTGAAGGTAAGTTGCCAGCTCTTTGTAACATCCCCAACCTTTAGTTTTATAGAAGTCCTGGTGGAAAAGTCATATCACTCTCTGCTGAATGTCAAATCCACCCCGGATTTTTGGTGCAAGTTAAGATAATGTAGTAGATGAAAGAATTCAAAGGGGACAGGCTGGGCTCTTTGACTTTCACATGCCCCTTTATGTCCAAAAGAGGGATTGGAGGCTGCTCTGCCCTTCAGGAAAAGCTCATGCATCCACACACAGACTTAAATACAATGGCTGGTGAGACTGGAGTAGCAAATTAGGTATTGATTTCTCTATTACAAAGGCAGTAGTTTTATACACTCATGATGTTCTAGCTGCTGTGGTAAATGACAGCAACAACAAAGCCATGCCTTGTTGCAACCCGTTACGTTAGCAGTAAACTAATCAGAGGCAGGTTGTTCGGAGGGTTTGGACTAATTCTGGGGGGGTTGCACACACCATTCTAAGTATGTTTTTACCCAGTGTTGTTTATCCTGCAGTGGAAACTGAAAGACCAACATTTGTGTGTTCATTCATGAATGGTCCAATATAAAAATGTTATTATGGCATTTCAGAGAAATAACTTATTTATAAAAGTGACCCTTCTGGACCCATGGGTGTTTTCACACTGTTTTTGACTCCTGGTAGCCTCAACCTGCATCATGAAATATTGTTAAAAAACAGCAATAGCATGTCCTCTCAATTCCCACTGCACCCTGAGCAATGAACACTGCTATTTTGCTTCCCTTCATTATCTCTAGATGACTGCCTTTAATAATCCATTTCGCACTCCCTGTGAAAACCAGTAGGCAGCTGGAAAGCCAAAAGCGCACATGGAGACCCATGGGAGGTTATCAGGAAATCATAAAATAAGAGACAGCGACGAAGAGGAAACAAGCAATAGACTGTCTCTACAAATAAACAGAGGGGCACCGGCTTTCTCTGGGAGACCGGAAATTCACTTCTGACAGCTTCTCATAGATAAAGTCAAGATGCCATAAAAAGTTCTCTGCCATTACC